AGAGGAACTATAAACTAAGACATTTAGGTAGATTTGGTTAGTTATTACAACTCTGGTCTTTTTATGTGGTCAGGCCTCTAAAGATTTCCTGTTATTTAAATTTTAATGTTTTTAAATGGCATGAAAATAATATAATTGCTACTCAATTATCCACTTTTAAGGCACATTCCAGGTAATTTCTCTTTTTTCTCTAAAATAAAATGAGTACCTTTTGCTGTGCCTATAAACCCAGCAACAACAAACTCCTTTATTTCCTAGTTATGCTGCCAAGGGAAAGAGAAAGAAATGCAAAAGAGCGGGAGAGAGGTTCCTATTAAATGGTAAGAACTAGGGTTTCTTCTCCAGAAGCTGGCTGGGTCAAGGCAGGCCAGGAGCAGAGAAGGTGGCTTCTAAGGTCTGAGGGCCTCCCCAGCCTCGCCCCTCCCCTCCTCTAACGGTGCCGATGAAACACTGGGTGCAGGAGCGGGATGGGTTTGTTGGTGCTGAGAGATGGCAACAAAGCATCTCAGGGCTGTTACCTCTTAAAGTTACCTCCCTTGCCTTGCTTCTGCTCTCCCCTGCCTCCTTTCTCCACCCACACCAGCCTCCTGGCTGCTCCTGCGGCCTGTCAGACACGCTCCCCTCCAGGGCCTCGGCACTTTGCCGTGATGCCCATCTTCAGGATCCCCGGAGGGCTTGCTCTTCCCATCCTTTAGGCTCTGCTCACACATCACCCTTCTTGGTGCAGCCTCCCGTGACCACCCGATTAAAACTGCACTGTGTCTCCACCCCTGGGTCTCCCTGATTTTCCCATAGCATGTCCAAATCCCTGACGTATCACCAGTCGTGTCTGTCTACTGTTTATCTCCCCCATCCCCACCAGCGTGCCAGCTCCATGAGAGCACCAGTGTTTGCTTGTTCAGTGCTGGGCCCCCAGTGCCTACAGCAAGTAGTGTGTCTGGCACACGGTAAAAGGCTTAGTACATTTTGTTGGATGAATGAAATAGGGGGACAGAGATCGTGTTTCAGTTCAGCCTCTGCAGGATACCACGGGGTACTGGAACCCGTCTCACTAGGAGGGTTTGGCTCCCACTGACTACGGTTAGGCTCACGCATTTTCTGTCTGTCAAGAAAGACGGCTCTGCTTGCCTGAGTGGCTACAGGGTAAACTCTCAGGAAAGGAAGAAATGGTTTCTCTCTATGAAAACAGGCAAACAACAGAAATGCTTATTCACAAAACAATTATGTCCTCTCTTAGGAATAAAGAATGCAATGATCAAGATATTCTGTTTGAGGCCTTTGCCAAGAGGTAAGAAACCCAAATTGTTACAGCCGGTGTACCAGGAGATGAGGCCCACTGCAGACAGAGAGTTTCCGGGATTTCCAGCTCTCCTCCTGCCTAGATGGGGAAGTGTTAGTCACTCTGCTCTGTAATAGCCTCCCTCCAGGTGTTGATTCAGAATCGCTGGGCTTCTTCAGATACAGTGACTAGGAAAGCAACTCAGTCATCACAAGCAATAGAAGCTGTGGGTCAAATGTCACTGACTAATCAACCTGTCATTGGTCAATTACCTATCCCCATGAAGAAGTGCCACTGATCTAGTTTCCCGTCAATAAACGTCTATCTGGCCACATCAGCTACTGCTAACCACAGCCTGCCAGATATCCAGCATTGTCCACAGGCATTGGTGGCTAAGAAATCTCTCTCCCTTTCCTCTTTATAATGTCACAGAAGAGGCAAATGCAGTTCCTGACAACATAATGTTGGTTTCACAGAGACGTGTCTCTTTGAACACTCAGCCAGTTATACAGGACTTCAATTGCATGGATTTTCTTACTGAAAAAACAATAGCTGGGCTTAAGGAAGTCGGAGGCTTCATACTGTGCTGAGAGGTACAATTCTGTCTTCAGTTGTATTCGTGCTCTCACCCCCCTCTGAGTGAGGAAAAGAAAAATTGTTCGGGGGAACCATCTTCATTCCGTATTTAGGAAAACCAAGTGGGCGCTGTTCTCCCTCGCCTTAAGGCCCAGTGACGCTCTGTTCTGGAGTCAGAGTCAGCATTTCTCATTCTTCGGGGAGATCTAGGGGCCACAGTGGCCTTGCCACATGAAGAGCCGGTTGGTCTCTCTCTGCATTGTCACCCTGGCATTGACCTCGTGAGGTCCCTGCTGGATCTAAAATTCTAGATTTCCTACTGTATCCCCTATAATATCCCCTCCTATCTCTTTTTTTTTTTTGAGACAGAGTCTCACTCTTTTTGCCCAGGCTAGAGTGCTGTGGCATCATCCCAGCTCACAGCAACCTCAAATCCCTGGGCTCAAGCGATCCTCTTGCCTCAGCCTCCCGAGTAGCTGGGACTACAGGCATGTGCCACCATGCCAGGCTAATTTTTTCTGTATATTTTTAGCTGTCCGATTAATTTCTTTCTATTTTTGGTAGAGACGGGGTCTCGCTCTTGCTCAGGCTGGTTTCAAACTCCTGAGCTCAAACAATCCGCCCGCCTCGGCCTCCCAGAGTGCTAGGATTACAGGCGTGAGCCACCGCGCCCCGCCATCCCCTCCTATCTTGATGTTAAGGCAGCCGTATCAGAAGGTAATGGAGAGGAAGGAATTCAGGAAGATTCCCGTGTTTTTGGCTCAGGCACACTAGACAGTTTTTGGTCTAGGCATAAGGGAGCTGCAACTCAATGAGATGACTAGAGTGGGGAGGGGGAGGATAATGGAATTCCATTTTAGATGTCTCGGTCCGAGGTCTTGGTTTGGGATGTGCACAGAACACTGTTAGATGGTGGCGGTGGTGAGAGGGAGGCCCAGGGTACCAGGTAAGCAAATGGAATACAGAGAACATTAAACGAGAGTGGGCAGAGCTACTAAGCTGCCTGTTTGCTTCAGTCTTCATTGACAAGAAGACTGGTCTTCAAATTAGAAATGGCAGAACAAACATAATAAAGAGAAAATTGAAGTCCCAAATAGGTGACGAGAAAGAGAGTATCTCGTCAATTTAAATGATTTCAAGTCTCCTGACTCAGAAGAGTTACACCCCAAGCCTGCTGAAAGAAATTGCAGATGTAATCTTAGAGACACGATTGGTAATCTTCAAGAAATTGCGAAGACTATAAGGAGTGCCAGAAGACAAAAGAAGGACAACTGTTTTCTGGATTTTTAAAGTGAAGAGGGATAGACTGTAATAGGAAATATATAGGTAAGTTTCTAATTATCAATGGCAAAAATTCTAGAACAGCTTATTAAATAGATGGTATATGAGCGCTTTAGTTAATGCCAACAGCTGAGAAAAAGGAAAGAGTGTTGTTTGCTGTTTGATGGAAGTTTATTTGCACTGGTGGCTTGTCCAGACTGATGTGGCTCGTCTCTTCCCCTTTCCTAAGCACAGAGTGAGTTGTTTAGCCCTCAGTATGAACTCAGGGCTTCTCTATCTGAGATTTGTCGCCATGGTACTTAGCCTGTGATGTGGCCCTTTATAAAATGGGGTTGACAATTTAAATGAAGAAATCCACAGTCTGAATTCTCCAAGAAATCCAGCATCAACTCCTCAGGGTGTCCCAGGGACCTGGCAAGCAGCTTTAACCTCTGTGGTTATTAGCCTACACAGAGATAAACCTCTGCTCATTAGAATCCTACTACGTTATTCTTTGTGCTATATCTGCCTTTACACACGCTGACTTTAAAACAGGAACAGGAACAACAAAGCGGAGGTGATGGAGCATGGTGGGGGGTAGGCAGTCTCGCCCTGCCAACACCTCCGCCCCGGCAGGCTGAGACAGAAATATTTATATGTGTGTGTGTATATCCTAATATTATATTTGCATTACATTTTTACATTAGCCTTTCAAAGCCCTTCTTAGAATGTTGAAAAGAGAAAAGGAAAAAAAAAAGCAGCCTACTCAAGACCCAGATAGCTCTCTTGAACTAAAAGCGCGGTCGCCTGCCGGATAGCGACGTTTCGGTTATGACGGTGGTCCCCCGGGAGTACGATGGAGCTAAAAAATTCCTCTTGCCTAGTGATGCCATCATGTCCCGGAACGATTACTTTATTTAAAAACATTGCAGGGTAGCCTGCGTGTACAGTGTTTGCAGAGTCTACAAGGGCGCACGCTCCTGTCCTCGCCTTCCCATTCTCTCACCGCTCACTCGCCGACCCACCCAGAACCACGTCCAGTCCTGCAAACTCCGTTTAAGTGCCCTACACAGGTGGGCCATTTTTTTCTTTTATCCTTATTTTTACTGGATCTTTTCTATGTTTAGATACGCAAATACCTACCATTGTGTCACACTATTTCCAGTGCTCAGCACAACCCCGTGCTGTGCAGGTCTGTAGCCTGGGAGCGACAGACCACACCACAGCCTCGCGTGCGGACGGCGGTGCGGCCGGGCCCGTGCGAGCGCGCTCCGCGACCCTCACACGACCACCCAGGTGCCGAGCTACGCGCTTCGCGGAGCACGGCCCTCGTTAAGCCACCCGTGACGGTGCACCCTCTGGGGGATGCTGCCAGTTTCATGTTTAAAAATGATATAATCCTATAAATCAAGCGAAGTTAAAGTTTCCTTCTTAAAATAAAAAAAAAAAAGGAACAACAACAAAACACAACGATCACTAAGATCTTTTAGAACCACACCTTACATTCAGATGTTTGGTTCATATATAGAGTCATTTATTAAAGTCAAAGAAATGATTTTTCATTCTATATAACCTCTCTTGGGATTACCCTGTAACTCTCTAACCAAGACAAAATGAGACTTGAGAAGGAAGTCTGCCATACCCAGAGAGAGGCCTCTTATCCAGTTCCTCCGTGAGTCTAACTTTGGTACCTTCCCACCGGAAAGCCCAAACAAGCATCCTACAGCTCACTGTCATCTCCTCTCTTTATACTCCCACTCCCTTCTCGCTATTTAGAGCAAAGAACCGTTTCCTCACTGGAGTTATTGGGATCATTTTACCAAAATAACAATCTGTATGCGTGTCTTCCATTTTAAAGCTAATGAATGAGAAGGAATCTTCTTACCGTATGGACCCAATCATGTACGGCTGGGCCAGCTGAACCACAATCGCACCACTTCCTAGCTGGTGACATGTGTAGCCAGAATCCCAATCATAATTCTTAGTGTCCCCGTTCAGCAAGGCGTTTCGGCTCCGACTGACTCCTTCAATCACACTGGCACAATCGGAAATCGTTGCAACATTCTCCATGGGAACTGTGAATCCAAACACAAGATTTGGCATCAGGATAAGAGAAGCCAAATACACCTCAATAGTGTACTTGGAACAAAATTAATTAATTACTATCTCAAATCAATGATAAAAGGGAAATTAGAACCTCTTGATTATCTTAAGATATGAATATATTTTCCAAGCTAAATAGCTTTAAAAAAAAAGTTGAACCTAAGGTTGAAACAAACCAAACCACATGTAGCAATTAACCTGAACATAGTTTATTACAAAGAAACATGATAGCCCATAAAATACAGATTAGATAAATACACTGTAGAATATTACTATAATGAGAAACTACAATCAAGATTAATGAGTTATAGCTATATATCTAAATGAGTGAATTTCAACAACATAATGTTGAGTAAAAAAAGCAAGGCACAGAAAAACAGAGTATGAGTTCATTTATACAAAGTTTTAAAAAAGTCTAAACCAAAAAATATTTTGTTTAGGGCTATACACATAAATATAAAACTAAAAAGAAATCCAGGGAATCATTACACAAAATTGAAGACAGTCTGGGAAGAGGGGAGATAAAATCTTAGGAGGACCCACACCAAAAGGTCTAAACATTAACTGGTTTCATTTCCAAGAAGTATTGGTCTTACTTTGTTTCTGAAGCTAGGTGATGGGCACACAGGCATTTGTTTCATTAGTCTCTAAGCTGCAGATATTTATCACGCCCATTCTTCTGAAAATTTGTTTAAGGAAATATGATAAATTCAGAATTTTAAAATTCACAAAACAGGAAAGTGATCCAGAACATGGTAACGATCCCTTTTCAGAATATACAGTTGTCCTCAGCTGTGATTCTTTTGTTTACCATTCTGTGCACTGCAACACAGATGCTCTTTCCTTCATTCGTGAACTGTTGTATCTTGAAAAACTAGCTCTGTTTTTATTCTAGGGTCTCTATACTTCGAGTCCACACCAACCTGCTCACTTACAAAAGTTAAGAGCTTCCACAAAATGATGTCTGTCCACTAGGACACAGATTCTCTAAGCACTGAGAAGAAAATGATAAAAAGCAAGGGCCTTTAAAGACCCCCTAGGACCTTTTCTGTGCATTTAAAGCCAAAATCTACAATTTTCTTCAGACATTTAAGTTATTTAACCAAAATCTACAATTAACCCTCGCTACTTACATTCAAGATCTGTAGTTTACTTTAGATAATTAAAAAGCGGATTGCAAAAGAAAACAATAATTTCTCATTAGATATGTCAACTTGTACTTTTCAGTATAATACACTCTGTCAAAAGAAAAAGGGTGAGAAATACTACCACCATGCCAAAACATTTCTAAATTTACAATGATGTGGGTAAAAAATTCTATATGTATCTTCTAAGCAATGCATCCATTTTCCAAAGTTGGATATGCCTGCACTTAAGCCCTCCTCTCACACGCCTTCGCCAATCGCTTTGTTCTCTGCAGACGAGGAAGGACACCCGAGATAAGAAAGGGAGGGAAGGAGGGAGAGAGACAGGAGGGATTTTCTGGTGGTGAATCCCTTCATTATTAAGCTTAACTTCGAAGCAACGAGAAAAAACACAAATAAAACTGCCCGTAAGGACAGTTTACCGGCAGAGAAGGGGCTCAGAGAAAAGCTCATCATGACTTTAGAAGGAAACAGAGGTGAAAAGGGTAAGACATGGTACCTCTATCTCATGGAAAAGGGGCTGTATTCTTTGATTTGGAAGAGAGAACTTAAAGAAGTAGCAGAAGATGAGCTAATACAACGCACTGAGCTAATACCAGGCTGGTGGCTCGTACCTGTAATCTCAGCTTCTCAGGATGCTGAAGTGGGAGGTTTGCTTGAGCCCAGGAGTTTGATATCAGCCTGGGCAACGTAGTGGGACCCCATCTCTAAAACAATTTTTTAAAAAATTAGCTGGGTATGATGACACGTGCCTGAAGTCCCAGCTACTCAGGAGGCTGAGGTGAGAAGATCACTGGAGCCCAGGAGTTCAGGGCTGCAGTGAGCTATGAGCATGCCACCGCACTCCGGCTGGGGCAACAGAGACACTCCATCTCTTAAAGAAAAAGAATCGAGCTGAGCTGTAAGATAATGCTGCAGTAACAGGCAGGCCCCCTTCTCTCAGCAGCTTAACACAGCGCACGTCTGTTTTTCACTCACCCCACGTATTCAGTGATGATTGGCCAGAGCCAGGTGGCTCTGCTCGCCGGATCACTCAGGGACCCCAGTGACAGGGGCTTCGTACTGACGCGTGCTTCCTCAGTCACAGCGACAGCGGGAAGAGAGCAAGCTGGGCACGGGTTCTTAAAGCTCTTCCCCCAGAGTAGCACAGATCCCTCTGCTCACACCTCACAGACCCACGCAGTCGCGTGGCCTCACCTAACTTCGAAGGGAGGAGAAAGTACAGCTCTGCTGTGCGCCCAGGAGAGGAAACGGAGCATGTGGTGAGCAATACTAACATCCACCCCAGACAGGAAACCGGGACGAAGGAGCGTCCTCTAGACAGATAAATCTGCTCATTTGCTTAAAGTATGTAAACTATTTCAATGAATGAATATCCCCAAATTTATATATCTAGTCTCTTGCAGAGGGACACTTAGATTGTTACCATTGTTTTCTTTGCCATTACAAACAAAGGTATCTTCTTGTGGTCCTGGGTAAGAGTTTCTTAAAGGAATACCCAAGACTGAGATACCTATAGATCTATATATAAATACATACGTTTTTAACACTCATGGCTATGAGTTACCACCAAGTTCCCTAAATAAGGCCAAGTTACTCACCAAAGCGGCTGTAAAACTTTGTACTCCCAACTCACTGCTCCACATCCTCACCAACTCTTGGTGGTGTCACACAGATGAGTGTGAAATGAGATCTCAGTGTGGCTTTAGTTTTTCGTTTCTTTGTTAAATGAAGTCGAACATTTTTTTCTCTTTTTTTCCTCTGAAATCGTTCTCAATTTCTCTTCCGTGAACTGCCTATTTTTATCTTTTGCCTATTTTTCTATTACCTAATTGATCTGAAGGATGCCAGTGCTTTGTAGGTCAATGTATTGAGCTAAAATATTTAATCTTTTTCTTTATGATTTGTGTTTTTCCTTTCTTGTTTATAAATTCTTTCCTACACCAAACCCATTAAGATACTTTCCTATATTTTCTCTTAAAAGTTCTCATATTTTTCTTTTCATGTTTGGTTCTTTAATCTATTCACAATTTATTTTTGGTAGGCTGTGAGATGGGGATTATTTTCATCTTTTATTTATAGGGATGACCAACTTCCCCAGGACCATTTAATGAACAGTCCATCCTTTCTCCGACTCATTTGTTACATACAGAGTTTTCACATATATTTGCGTCTCCTTTTAAAATCTGCATTCTGTTTCGCAGATAGATTGCCCAGCCTGTGTCTTCGCCAGGCTGTCTTACTATCAATATGACTTTACAGTAAGCTTCAATCTTAGCACCTCCCTCCCACTCCTTTCCTCTTTCTTTTTCTTCAAAATTGGCTCACACATTCTTGGCCCTTTCAGGAAAATTTTCCATTTTGTTTAAGTTTTCAAATATACTGGCATAAAAATTTTCATAGTATATCCTCTTTCTCATTCCAAATATTGTTTATTTCTACCTTTTCTTTCTTTTTTGATCCGTTCTACACAGGTTTATCTATATTATTAGTGCTTTCGAGGAAAGAATGTTTGGTTTTGTTGATTCTTTATTTTCTATTTTACTAAATTCTTCTCTTATTATTATTATTATTTTCTTCCTTCTGCTCCTTTGAATTTACTCTATTTTTTCCCTGCGTGAAGCAAATGCTGAATTCATGAATCTCTTTTCTGGCAAATGATTTAAAGCTAATACTGTATTTTACTTCTGACTCCCATTTACCTTTAAAATCAAGGTTTGATATTTCGTGTTTTGAAAACTGCTGGTCAGGTATTGTGTAGAATATTCCGCAATTTGGGTTTGTCAGATATATAGTATTTTAAAAGTTGATCACTTCTAAATATTTTCTAATTTCCATTATGATTTTTCTTTGACCCATGAATTATTCAGAAGTATGCTTTCAACTTTCCAAATAAAACTTTTCGAGTTATCTGTTACTGAGATATATATATTA